ACAGTCATCCTTAGAGAACAAAATAAGTCAGGTGACACCAAAGAACAGCTGGTGCATGCTCCAAATCCATGTTGAGACAGCACTAATCTGGCAACAGCCAAACTGCTGATCAAACAGGCCGAAGGCATTTATTTCTCATCCCCCTGCCCCTGTCCCCTTTTCTTGAGATCTCCATCAAGCCCACTGTCACTTTTCCACAAACAGGAAATATGACTCCAGCTGCTAGCCTTGCCCAGATCTTAGCTATGTGGCACTTCCTGTACCTGTTACTCCTCTGAGCTTATTCTGGATCCAAACAGAATTGATCTACCTCCTATTACGTCCTTCCAAGCTCTTTGGTCCATCCTCTCATTTCAGCCTCAGCCCCAGACATCCCTGTTTTACACCGAATTCAATCTGTCGCATCAGGTGCCAGCAGAGGGCTTCCCTGCTGAAAGTCAAATAATCACGCCCCCATCACACACTGTGTTTATTCATGGTCAGTTACCATAGTTACACTAGAAACAATGCTAAGAACCTATAGTTTTTTTTATTCCTACTAATAGAAAGATCATGATTTATAGATAGAATTCAAAATGTCCAATTAACTACCCATATAGGAAACAAAAAGAAAACATTTAGCACAAGACATTTCTTATGCTTTCTCTTTCATAGTAAATGTGGCTTTGGAAAAGGCCAGGTGCGCCTCCATCAGCCCTCATCCTTCGAATCAGAGAAAGAAATGGATTTACATCATGGGATTCTGCTACCCCCATGACTTACTTCACAGTCGCCGAGACTGGACTATCTGCCCTGCTAGGCATATTGGGAGAGAAAGCACATGACTATAAACTTGCTTCAAATTTCCAGGTGTGCTGATGCTTCTTCTAAGTCACTAAGTCAGTCTAACTTACACATAAATTGTCTCTTTCTCAGTCTTCACATAATAAGATGGTAGCCTTTGCAATTACCTAGGGCATCCTATAGGTTTAAAATCTAGCTGCTCTGGAGAATGGGGCAGGGAAAGCAGAGTGTACCCTTTCCTCCACTCTCTTTCCATTTTCCTTAAGAGGGTTCAATTCAGAGGTCTCCCAGACACAAGAAGAAGAACTGAGTTTTGGTCCAGAACATTTTCTGGGCTTAAAATATAATGCATAGTTGTCACTGCTCTAATTGAATTAGGTATTGGTTCTTGAAGAAGAGACAAGTTATATCTTTAAGGTAACCTTTTATATATCATTGAAATACAGATTTATTCACAGACCCTGAAGAGGTATATAGACTATTAACCTCTGTGACATAATTAAATTACATCTCTATTCTTGATTCAAAAAGGTGGTTTATGGTATGACTGATTGCCTCAATATCTTTTCTTTTTTATTTAATTACTTTTTTATTGAGATATGATTGACACATAACACTATTAGTTTTAGATGTACAATATACTGATTTGATATAGTATGTATATATTGCAAAATGATCACCACAATAAATCTACACATGGTTACAAAGCTTTTCTAATGGGGGAGGTAATTGGGTTTTTCTTTTTTTTTTTTTCTCTTAATGGGGGCACTGGGGATTGAACTCAGGACCTCCATGCATGCTAAACATGCACTCTGCCACTTGAGCTATACCCTTCCCGCCCAACACACAAATTTTTTTTCTTGTTATGAGGATGTTTAAGATCTACTCTCTTAGCAGCTTTCAAATACCCAATATGATACTATTGATTATAAGATTATAAGGTAATCTCTTAACAGAACTTGGCATTTATACCCTTACTTAGGAAGTAAATTTCAAGCTGGGTAAAACAGAAGAGGGATAGATTTGGCCCTGGGGGAGGACAGTGAATTCAGGCAATCACTCCAGCTCTGTGGTTTGAGTATGGCAATCAACCATGTCAGTTTTAGCACTACAGGTCTCCAATGCAAGAAACCACAGTCCTGTGAACACTTGGACACTTAGTCACCCTCTAAAGGAGCCAAGAAATCAGGCAGCACCATTGGGAAGCAGCCAGGACAAGAAGACAACACTCTACCAACCAGGGCCTTCTAGAAACTGCCACCTCCCTTAACAAAAATAGGCCGGTAATGAGGAGAAGACGAGACATTTGTCCCCAGAGATTCACATTCCCTTGAGATTTTCGTAATTACCTCCACTGCCACCTGGGCCTGGGAAAGGAAGGAGGCGGGACAGGAAGTGGGAGGGAGGAGAGGCCATCTGTGTGACCCTAAGCGTCTCTTCATGTCTCTGTGGGTTGTCGAAAATCAGGGCCCTGACCACTTTTCACCCAGGCCATTTCTCAGGGTTGTGTTTGCAGCCAGCGACCTTGAGGAGTGAGGTACCCTTTAC